GTCTCCAACGGTCCACGGTGCTGGTTTTAGACTCACCGACCGCGATGGACTGAGCGAGGCCCTTCATTCATTTCCCGCTCAGCTTGGAGGCCATTGGTCTTAGGGGGAGGCCATCGCTACTTCTGCTAGTAGGTTGGAGGCTCTTAGGTTCTTCGGGGAGGAAAACACACCACATCGCTGCGCCAGAAATGCTCACACCTTCCGATGTTCCTCTACCTACGGTACTCCCCCGCAGAGAGACCGCATGAATCCTGAGAATTGACCCATGGTGGAAGACCAATTTCCGAAGACCAACCCAGGTCTTGGGGTTCTATGGTCTGCAGGGGAGTATTGGTCATACCTGTGCTAGAGATCGGGGCAGCACTGCATCACCCCCCCGGCCCCCCAGCTTCGCCGCACGGGGCCGAATCGATGTCCAGGTGGAGGAGATGCAACAGCCTGGAACACCCTTGCGTGCTCTCCTGGACAACGAGATGCAAGCCGCAGAGGTGACGATGCCGAAACGTGGGACCCAAGAGCCAGCAGAACAAGACATCTCCCAGCGATAGCTATTCCACAGAAGAGATTCCACCCGGACATTTTCTCGGCTCCTAGGTCCTAGCTGCTAGCTGGTGAGCACTTTTGATATACCCTTCAAATCCCTTCAACCGTAGGCGTGATCAATATGGTCCAAAAGTCAAAGTCACTTTGGGCAGAACACCCGTGTTTGCAGATTTGGGCAGAGTCCCAGCTGTTCTTTCGGGCCCCCCCCGTGAGGATACAGGACGTGGCCGATCATTCAATCAACTCGTGACAGGACGTGGCCAAGAGCGCCGGGAAAGAGGTGGGGCGCATGCTTTGGGAGTGAACTGCCAGTTTCCACGAGGTTTGTAGTGGCTGATGCACCCGGACAAATATATATATATATATAACTATATATAAGTATATATATATACCCTGAGGATCCAACTACCTTCTCAGAGAGTAGTCATGAAAACACAGTCTGAGCATGAAGTTGAGCCCTTTTCTTGCTCAGCATGCAGTTCAAGGTCCAACTGCGTGATCTGAAGGGTTTAGTCATGTGCATGCTGTAAGTAGATCTCGAAATCATATGTTTGGAATATGTTTGAGTTCAAATCTCTAAACATGGTACATCATGGTACCAAGATTAGATGTTCTGTTTTGCATGAAGCTCTAGTGCGTGATGTGTGGCGGCCATGGGCCTTCTTCGGCTTGCCGCCAGGAAAGGTGCTCTGGGAATTATTTTGGATTTTGATGTTCTGTTAGTGATGGATCTATGAGATTGGAAGTTGAGGGTTGTGATATTGAAAGTTATGGACTCTGGACTTCCACTGTCCACCCATTCCCTCAGCTCACACCGGCTCTGGCGTGCGTTCACCTTGCACACGGTGCACCACGGGACGGGATGGCCATGCTGGTGGCTGCCATGGATGGGAATGTGAAGGTGGTGACTGCCCCCATGAAGTTCAAAGCTTCAGCACCTGGCCCTAAATTGGTGGGTTGAGATTTCTCTGTCTAGATCTTGGTGAGTAGCTATGTGTCTAGGATGCCCAGCTGTTATTTCATGAGGCAGAAGCCCAAAAGGTGCTGGCTGGGATCCAGGCCTTTGTGGAGAGGTCCATGCCGGACATCATGTGTGAAGAGGAAGTTTTGGGGCACCTGTGTGAACTGTGTTGCAATCGCACTATAGAGTAAGGGGTGGGGCAATGTCTAGCCATCCTTCTCCAGGACAGGCCCATTGTGGATTGGAACAGGGGCCATGCAAATGCATTGGACTTGAGCTTAGAATCCCTGGTTTGTGATCATGTCATATCCCAGTCTGTTTTTCTTGCACCTGCTCGCATTGCATGGTTATGGTACCACAACATTAAACAAGGTCTACGAGGACGACATCGAACGGAACTACTATCTCATCAGAGAGATCCTCCTGGGGTGCTCTGAGATCTTGCCGGGTGGAATCCCGGCCATGAAGGACATGCAGGTGACTTTGGTGCAACGTGATTTAAACGGTTTTGCAACAAGATTGAAGAACAGGGAACCAGTATGAATTGGTACAGGTTATGGACTGAGCAGCCTTCCAACACCCAGGCCGGCTTCTTGTTGGCCACTTTGATCCACAACTGGCATGTCCAGCTCTATTCCGTGAAAGGTGGCAAGACTGCCATTCGAGACTCTTGGACATATAGTTTGACCTTGAACTGTGAAGCTAGGGCTCAACTTCATGCTCAGACTGTGTTGTCATGACTATTTTCTGAGAAGGTAGTTGGATCCTCAGGGCAATGCATCCATATCGATAACTCACCTTTTGTATCCCCTCCAAATTTGATCATCTAGGTACCCATCTCTTCTTGTCACCAAAGACCTGACCCAGCCAAGGACTGGGCAAATGTGCAGGCCAACAGGCTTCGAGGGTTGCTCCAGCACCTGCACCGGCTGGCGAAGCCGACGCTGAAAGCGGGGAGTGTGGGGGGTGAAGGGATTTTCCAGGGTGCAGTCAGGATGGTTGGAAAACTATCTATTTATCTTTATAATTTTCCTTCCATGACATAAGATATATAATTGCAGGACTGAGAAGATCAAGATCTTGAAGCGCCCCTACCTACATCTCAGGTTTGTTCTGCCCTGAGTGTACTCCTCCAGACTGACTGGCCGTTTTGTTGATGATTGTTTCTCAGGGCTCGCCCGATGCTTCCACATCAAACGTGCAGGCACAACCACACTAGTGCTGCTGTATTGCTCACATGCTCACATGTCCTCCTTGCAATATACTGCTGGCAAATTGAAGGAGCAGCCGCATGAGAATGCACCTTTGGTGGTTGAGATCGATGATGATCCAATTGTGACAGAGGTGGGCTGCTTAAGACATAAGGCTTAAGGCAGATCCCACCCCAAATACCAGTGTAACTTAATATATATATATATATCTATATAGCTTGCGCAGGCTGAGTTGCCACACCTCGATCTGCAGAATGTGGTCAAAATTGAAGATGATCAGGCCTATCGGTGTACCAAAGCAATCCTTTTACATAGTGCTTCTGAAATGGAAGCTGCCTGTAGGGTGATCCGGTTGCTCAGACCTCTCAAAGCATGTGACGTTTTTTTTGCAGGAGGTGGCTTTTGGTGGAGATAGTCAAGCAGCTGAAGCTGATGGTTCCCATGCTGAGGTTGAGGCACTTTGCTTGACAACAAGTGGGTCAAAGTGCTCAATATTTTGCATTTGTTATATATATATATTTATATACTGACGTTTTGTTTTGAGGCCACCTTGAGCTTGGAAGATTCCCAGCCAGTGGATGATGATGTCGAGGTTATGGAGGCGATGTGTGCCTTTCATGTGATGTTGATGTATCATCCTTTTTGTGGATAGGCGCCGCATCAAACAGAGATGTCTTCGAACATGGACACCATGCAGGCATGATTTTGTGATTTCAGTGAAGCATGGAAGTCTTTCTAGATCAAGAAATTTGTGCACATGTGGTTGTTTGTGCGGTTTTGCTCCACCTGCAGACCATTCCCTGGCCGATGGATGATGTTCATCATGGTGGTGATCTTCTTGGGCAGGAGCAGGAGCACCATGCTGCTGAGGCTGTTGGGTTCATGTTCCTTTGTATGTGCTTGGATCATGGCCATGCACATGGCTAGGGCTTTGTTCCCCTCAGAGTACGTGTGAAGAATTTTTTTGAAAAGTGGCCTGGTGCTACAGAGGCCTGGCTGCACTGTCATCTTACTTTGTTCCACTCATGTATTGTTTCTGGAGGCATTCCCCACTGACCTTGAGATCCCTTCACCACCGAAGGAGGACGGTCCTGAGTAGTGCACATGTTACCTGACTGAATGCATCTCCATCATCTGCAGGACGTTGCAGAAGCCAAAGCTGAAGATGATGCTGCTGATGAGGCTGGTCTCTACGGTTGCAGTCTTTTGGCTTGGATTGTGCTGGGCATGCCTGAGCAACATCGGAGGCTGTGGTGTCTGCTGGCCCTGAAGAGATCATGGACCATGATGGAGTTGCCTATCTGCAAATAACCATTGAGCAAAGCAAACACACTCAACATTGTGTTATCAAATTGAGCAGTCAAGTGATCTGGTTTGCTTGAACTGATCATGCGCTTGATGTTTTCCCATGAGGTTGTGGCCGCGGCTCCTGGTGAAGCTTCAGTTGCCGGAGAGGCATGTGGTGAGGCCTTGATGCTCTCAGGAAACAACGTGTGCATTGTGTGCATTTTGCTGTGCAATTTCGTTTTTGTTCAACTGTTTTCTTCTTCACTTTTCATGTATTGTGTGCAATGCACAACATTGACCATGGGGCACTGTGCGAGGTTGCAAGTTCGATCCCTACAAATTTGGCTGAGCAACAAGCACAGCTCCGGAAAGATGTCGCCAAGGACATTCATTCTTGTGTGTGCAGATGCAATCATCACTGTGTCAGATTGAAGACTGTCATCTTTGTTGTGTATGTTGGATGTGTTTTTCTTTTTGTCACATATGACTATATAGATCCATAATTGATAGTTCTGCAGGCCAAGAAGGAGGCTGAAGCAAACAAGGTTTTGTCTAAGAAGTCTAAGAAGGAGGCCAAGGCAGCGAAGGCCGCTGCTAAGGCGAAAGGTAAGAAGAAGGCCAAGGTAGGCGAGGCTGAGCCTGTGGTAGGTGAGGCTGCACCTGGGCTTGAGGCAGGTGAGGCTGTGCCTGAGGTAGAGCCTGAGGTAGGTGAGGCTGAGCCTGAGGTAGGTCGGCGCCGGAGGGCCAAGCCTGCATCAAAGGCCAAGGCTGCCAAGCCTGCCTCAAAGGCCAAGGCTGCCAAGCCTGCTTCAAAGGCAAAGGCTGCCCCGAAGGCCAAGGCTGCTTCGAAGAGCAAGGCGAAGGTGAAGCCTGTTGAAGGTGAGGATTCCAAGGTGCCCAAGTCTTCCAGGGCCAAGGCAGCGGCCAAAGCTGCTTCGAAGCCAAAGGCAAAGGCAAAAGCTGTTGAGGTCACCCCTGATGAGGCCAAGCAGGAGGCAGCTGCCAAAAGGAGGACGCGTGCACAGGCAGGATTGGCTGCTTTGGGGGCGCAAAAGGGCCACCTCCATGGTTTGGTCTTCCCTGCCAACTTGGGGTCGAAGATCAGCTTCACGATGAAGCCACCAGAGGATGCTGTGGAGGGTGTGGCTGCAAGCAGCATCAATGTTGTCCTCTACCAGGATGCCTTTTATGTTCCCAAGGCTCATGGACTGCCATCCAATTTGAGGAATCTGAAGGTGCGCATGCATGCATGTGTCTTTGCAATCCACTCACTTCCTGCCTGAATTTGTTTAGCCTAAGTTTCACATATATATACTTTAAAATCATTTCTCACGAGGTTTGCATAGGGATGGAATGACAAACAACATGTCTGCCAGATTGATCAGAAGCAGGGCGTCACTGTTCCGTGGTATCCCAACACTATCTCCTCGGCTTGGTACTATGCCAGAATGATTGCTGGATGGATCACTATGAAGTAGAGAGGACAGAGTGTTAATCACAAAATTGGCCACCTATGCCTGCACATGTGTTCCATGTTCATGCCATGATGATGGCTCCCAGGAGGACCCTGAGAATGCTGAGCTCAAGGACGTTCAGTTTGCGTTTAACAGTTTGTGCTGATTGTATGAATTTGTCACTCTTGTCAAGTGGGGCACTTGTTGCTGTGATGGCATGTCCCATTCAGGATTTGGATCTTGCTTCCAGCCAGCCAGAGTGAAATTTTGACTGGAGTTGCACGTGTTGGCTTTTTCCAACGCATGCTGTGGCCACATCAGTCACATGCTGCACACTGTGTTGCATTGTTGAATTAGAGTAGATCTCAACCATTGACTTCGAACTGAATTCCAAATGCCTCCAATGGTTTGAACTTCTGGCTGCTATTGTGTGTGTGTGGCTGATACGCCGTGATGTCAACCAGGGGAATCCACAAAGCATGCATTGCTTTGTGTGAGCGTTTGAGGTCTAGATGAGGTAGCTGGGTGCCTGAGCTCTAGATTTAATTTCTAAACAGGTGCAGCTTAGTATGGCCCATTTCGAGCTTGGACCTCTTGCACCCATCCTCAGAGAGGATCCTTTAGAAGATCGTGACCAAGCATGGCAGCCCGATCACAGAGAAACATTTCCGTCATTTAGTTCGAATTCAAGAGTCCTCACAGGACATGTGGTTTTCACCACATGTCAGCTGAGTGGTTGCAGTGATTGTTTGATGACTGGAGGTGCTGAGATCAACAGCTCTTTGTCCTCGAGCTCCCATGGCTCTCATCCATATGGCCATCCAGGCAAGGATTCTTGCAAAGGTTTGTTTTGCTCTTCTCATTGCCGTGGTGCATACAGCTGTGTAACACTTTGTTTGTCCAGGTCCTCCTCATCATCGACCTCCTCATCAAGATCCTGATATCGATGAACTCCCAGCCAGAGGCGTGAGTGATGGTGTGTGCTTGTTGGTAGTGTGTTTGGCTCCTGTGAAGGCCTTCGAGCATATCAATCTATGCCTGGGCCATCACAAGGAAGAGGCCTGGCTATGCATGACATGTTGCACGCATACCAAGAAAGATCAAGTTTGGTTGTTCAACCTGATCCCTTTCCAGGTTTTTTGATTGATAGATTAGATATAATCTCTTGTGTCATTCTGACAGGACCTGCAGCTGAAGTTCAAGAACGCTTGCGTGAAGGTGCGCGCCTGCTCTGGACAGGACATGACACTGGATTTGGCAGAGCTGGTATATAATATGTATACGTTGTGGATTCATACACCCTCTGAGGGTAGGATAGGGTATATTGATAGGGTATCATTTCATATATAGGTTTGTTTACGTTTTTACTTTTGTGTAGTGGCATGGAGCCTTCAGAGAGCATGTGGGTCTGTGGGGGGTTCATTGTTTCTGTGCTGACGGTGCTTTTCAGCCTGGGGTTGCCAAGCAGGCCATGTATGCATATAACATCTACTTTCAGATGTTGACATTAGTCCCTTCTGGAATGATAGGGACACTTTGGACAATTTCAGTCGCATCGGTAGAACATGTTTCTCAGTTTTGACATCCGTTGGTTCCTGGCACCATGGACTGCCGGCCTTGGCATGGCCGAGACTTGAAGCTGAGTGGGATGGAAGCTTTGGTTCTTTTGGCGATGGGGTGCCCGCTGGTGTTGTGCTGTGGCAGCATTGTGTGTATTTATCGCATGTTGTCATGCCTTGATGTGTGCGTCCTGAAAACAAAAACTGTTTCACTGGCTGAACTCAGTCTCCATGTGGTTGACTATGTGGCCTTTCACGCTGCAGAAGCCAGCCAGACTCGGGACTGTTTTTTTGTGATTTGTGAACAGGTCAAGGCTAACGGATGTCATGGTCCAGTGCCATTGCTCTGGGGTGAGATTCCCTCCAGGATTTGGAGTGCACCGAGTTCTTTGCTGGAGTGGCGTCTGTGGCAACAGCCTTCCGTGCCTCAGATTAAATTGGCAGGTGGTGCATGTGTGGACAAAGAGTCTCTGGCTCTGGCCTCTGGTGAATGTTGAGCTTAAGGATTGGCACACCTTGGCGCGTGCCTTGTCGTATACTGTATGTGTTAACGTATGTTGTAGCTAAGCCTGATGCAGCATCATATATTATATATATAGTATCATTACTATTTAACTAAATACTATGTTGGTGCTTGTGCAAGGCAAGCAGTGGATTACATTGATGATGCCGCCCATGATTTGTTGGGTGAGATTGGGTTCATGTACGCTGTACGACAGCTTCTCCGCATTCGGGAAGGAGGTCTTGCCTTTTTTGGAATGCCTTGTAATAGCTTCTCATGGATGAGTAGTTCACAACATCAGCGCTGTCTGAGTTCGCCATTTGGAAATGCACACTATGGATGGGTTTGGGCCGGCAACATCCTTGGTGCTAGGATGTGTCTTCTGCTGGCCTTGTGTGTGGCCAGAGGCGTCAAATTCTTTGTGGAGAACCCCATGAGATCCTCTTTGCCTTGCTTTCCTTACTTGGCCCACATCTTATCCTTCAAGGAGGTTGGCCCCATTCGAGTACATTGGTGGGGGTCCCAACATTGATACACATGGACATTTTTTCTCCTGTGTGCATAGGTATGTTTCATGTGATTCCAAACTCACTGCAAGTGTATGGGAGGGAATTCGGGTCCCTAAATCATGGTGTGTGGATGTTGATCACACTGAAGGCACATGGGACCATATGGCCATTGGACTTTGAAACCGCACATCGGGCTGGGGAATTGGCTCCTTGGTTGAGAGTGGATAGCCCCAAACAAAAACCCTAGTGACCCTAGTGTTTGTATCTTGTGGCATGTTCGTTTTCGTTTTTGCCGTGCATCTCAGTCTATGGTCTGCAAAGCTCAACATCCAAGTCAGTCCTATTGAACGGGCTGCAATACGGCTCCGCGGACAACATAAGCAGGTGGTCAAAACATCGATCCAGAAGACCACGAAGAAACCACAAGTGTCATATGCTTAGATTAAACCATACTGCAAGAAACTTGTATATCTGTTGGTGTATAGGGGTTGCATAGAAGTTTACCTGTACCCAATCTCTATATGTGAGGAGTGGAGCGAAAGACCTTCGTGCGTCTGGTGCCTATCCCCTGGACTTTGGCAGAAAGGTCTGTGAGCTACATCTTCAATCGATTGTGCCATGTCTGACGCAGGATTTTAAAGGTGTCCTAGCTGGTGGCTCACAGAGTCTAGGTGCCAAAGTAACCCTAGCTATGCACCCACATCACTCTGACAGGTTTTGGATGTAAGGCCTGTTTTTGTTTAAATTATCACGACCCTTGCAAGTAAAGTGGGGCATTGCCACCTGGCACCCTTCTCGATCCTTGGCTGACCCATCTGGAAAAGGAGTACTAGCTATAGTACTGAAATGGTTTCCTGAGGTTTCCTGGCAAGTGAAGCCTTTAAAAATGAACACATGTTATGCATTTGCTGGTTCATGAGGCCAGTGGAGAAGAACCTTTACCTGATCGAGCTGCATTGATCCGTTCTGGCTTCAAGGAGCAAGGGACCCTTTTAGTATGGGCTTGTTGAAGGTGGCCTGGTAGTGGCCTGGTAGGGTACAAAAAGACATGTTGCAGGCCACCTTTGATATTGACCTGGTTGGACCCTTTCCTTGGTTACCTTCACCTTTTGATAGTTGCCTGGCAAGTTCTTCTTCTTAGAACATGTTGTCTCCAGCACCGGTGAACCCTCACTGATCCGGCAGGATGTGGCCTTGGATTGGTCGCATGCCAACCTGGTCCCGATCCAGAAGGTGCTGAAGAAGGCGGTGAGGAAGGGGATTTGGATTTCCGACCCTCAAATTCCTTTTGGGGAGATGACCCCATCCCCGGCCATCTTTGAAAGGCTGGTGAAGCTTTGGATGGATCAGCGCCAAGGTTGAATTCTGCAAAGGCTCTTTTCACAATATCTTGATGGCCTCAAAACTAAATAAAAACATGCCAACATGTCTGATCCTCCCTGGTGGTAGTGGGTTCAAAAACAGTGAACTGTGACACATATATATATATATACTAATATTTGTATATTATATGACAAAGGATCTTTTTTTGATGCCTTTTTTGTAAATATGTATATATCTACAAATCGGTTTGGAACCCACGCGAGCTGCTAGTTGCTGAATCTGCCGTGCTGCGGTGCTCTTTGGGTCCATGGGATGGAGAAAAATGTTTGATCTAGGAGTATATATACTATGTACTAGCTAGGACTAGCTAGGACTATATTCTAGCTAGGAATATATACTAGTACTAAATATATCTATATGGATATATATAGATAGGAATAGGTGAGGAACACGATTGATGTAATCTACTCGCCATGGATCCAAGGGGAACTGCTGTAATTGGATGAGGGTTTGCCCTCATGGATTATGGATTGAGGGTGCCACGGATGTGGTGCGACATGTGGTGGCCCGGCCCCCTGAATCTATGTGGTGCCACCTGCAATGCCCACTCAGGTTGTGGATCTCTGTTGTCTGGTTCGCATTCCCACCCACTAACAATTTCTACATAGTTTGAGCTCCCCAAAACACCATCCACCATCCATCCTCTTGGAAGCCAGGCTAGTGTTTATCTGGACCCTGCTATGGACCACAGCTTTGAACCATGACCCCATGGACACTTGTCCCACATTGCCCCATCCTGGTGCCTGACATTGAATGCTCAGAGAGCAATGACCGGCCTGCAATTGCTGCCCAAAATGGGCATGATGAGACATTCTCTTTACCCGGCTCTCACTGAAGTGTATGGTTGACAAGGATTTGCCAAATGTGGCTTCTTCAAACAGTGTTCCAAACTTATACATCAACCTACCTGATCGAAAGTGGATCAAATTGGTCCGTGGGTCACTTGGTGGGTGTGGAGCTGGATTATGCACCAGGTGGGGGCGCGTTACATTCGCGTGACTTTGCGTGATAACTGCGTGATGGGACAGTTTTACGCGTTACTTTCGCGTGACTTTGCGTTACTTTTGAGGATTTGTGATTTTTTGCTCCCTGAGGCTAAGAAGGGATCTCTGACTGCTGCAAAAACAAGGGCTGGCCCAAACTCATCCCAGGAAGACGGTGTGATGGTTTCTGAATGGTGTTTGAAGGGTAAATGTATTGATATTCTTGGCTAGGACATGCGTCACTCGGCATCTTCGGGTGATGCCTTCAACCCTGAAGCAGAACAAGCAGCTTTGGAAGCTCGTTTGGGCAAGAAGTTGTGTGCCCTGGTATGCAAGGACCCACACTATATAGAACCTGGTTCCTAATCAAACAAACACAAACAACTTGCTGATCAAGCTCTGTAAGTGCGGTTGTTCAACCCCATGTCCTGTTAATATTGCCTAGGTGCTCCAAAACCGGTTGCCACACCAGTGACGGCTGCTATCCCAACATGTGCCACCAAGTTTGAGAAGGTTGATGTGATCAAACAGCAGGTTGTGTCACCTCTGCCCAAGTCTTCACCGCCGCCCAAGTCTTCACCGCCGCCCAAGTCTTCACCGCCCATCAGAAGCCCAGAGATGAAGCGGGCTAAACCAACCCCAAGCAGTGCTCGTGAACTTGGCACTACTGCTCGCTGCTTGGAAAGTGATTTTTCATCAGTCTCGGCTTCTGGATGTGCGACATCGAGAGTCCCGACCCCGGTACCGACACGTGCTCCAGCCTGGGTGGCACCATCAAAGAAGGTGTGAAGCTCAATTGGAGAACTTATGAAACCTAATGGCCCCTCACAATGATGGTTCCGTTTCATTGCCAGTCTGAGGCGGATCAACCAAAGAATGTTGTGAATGGGCATGTTGATGGGATCCCTACATGTGCCTTGGGCATACCAAGCTCATGAACCATGTGCACATGATGCATGTGTTGTCTTGCTCAACCCAATTGCCAACAGGGTCCCCGGAAGCTACATCGCCATCCCTAGAAGCTGACCTCAATGGGGGGGACAGTCATATGACCTGGGATCAACGTGGCCGACTTCGCAACATCTATACGATGACGACGATCAACTTTGGTGATGAGCCCGATGAGCCAGATGGCTTGGAAGATGTTGGTGAAAAGGTGCCACCATCACACTCTCAAATGTGGATCCATAGGGGGTGCTCTTGATTTAGATCTAGAGTCAGGGGTGATCATATTCAAACCCAAACAAAAGACTGCATGATTGTATGGTTGTATGTCCTTCCATGTCCTTCCCTTCACCCACATGCCCAAACGACCCTGCGACTGGAAGGCCTTGGATGGAATGATTGATACTTCTGGCCTGGAGGCTCCGGCAGAAGAAGTTGCAACTTACCAGGGTGTGCAGGCAGGTTTCATGTTTCCTTTCCATATGTGGTGGGACATACTTACATATACAGCTTTTCATATTAACATTCTATATATAGCTGTTCTGATTTCATGGAGGAAGTTTCTCCTTCGACGTCTCCTTCGATTGAGACCCCACATCTTGTGGCACAGAAAGCCATTTTGAGGAGGAAGGACACCACCATGGAAGCTTTGGAGGTTTCAAGATGTCTTTGCCGTGTTTCTTTCTTTTTGCAGCTAACAATATGTTACCCAATTTGCATTCTTGGGGTTCTGAAGTTAACACTTCTTCAGGCCTCTGAATACAATGAGGATGGAGAGCCGATGTTCCCGACAGGTCCCAAAGGTCGGCTTGAGACTGTTTGGGAGAAAGATGTCAGGGAAGCCCGGAACAAAAAGATGGTCTTCTATCGGACTTTGGACAGTTCCTTGAATTGGATCATTCCATGCAATATACAAGTTTATGTCGGCCCATGTTTGTTGGGGGAATCCCTGGTTTGATCAGGTAAGTCTCTTCCGGGACCTGTGATGGAGAAAGCAAAGAACCGTCGATACAGCTGCTTGTCTAACCAGTGGTTTTCAATCTTGAAAAAGAACATCTGGGTCCCAAGTATGTACATATGAATGGCTCACTCCCGAACTTAGACCGGCTGATCATTGGGGAGCTCTATGAGGAGTGGCTGTCCTCAGGGATGGAGTGGATGCGATCATCGTTGGTTGTGAATGCAGGCCGCAGTGCAAACCAACGCCGTCGAGGCAAGTTTGTCATGATAGACTATAAGTCCTTGAAGGCCAAATACGGTCCTGCAGTAGCCCGTCAGCTTAAGGAAGAAAAACAGGATTTGGAGTCCAAAAAGAATCCTGGAGATGAGACCATCTATTGGATGCGGAACCCTGATGTCCCTCATTTGGAGGACTGGTCTTCACTCTTTCGTTTTCCATGTCCAGTCTGTGTGCAGTACTTGAAGAATAATATGCATGTATGCAAATGGTTTCGTACATTATGCGCTATTTTTTTGTGATCAGGATTATGAGTTGTGCCGGGTATTCGACTCCATGGTGTACGAGGATGAGACGACCGACCATCTGTCCATGGCTATCCAAGGTTCTGGTGAACTTGATGCCCAGCAAACACGCCAAGCACTGCACCTCTCCATGATTCTCCATATATAGCTACATTATTATATATATATATGATCAGACCACACTCTAGATTTAGAAATTGTTTGTGGTCGGTATGGATGTTTCCCAATGTAGAAACTACTTAATATCACTAAACTGCCTCTGAGGCAGGCGGCGACGCATGGCCAAATGGCCACATTTCAGTCAGGACTTCCCAGTGCCTTGGGTTCGGCAGCAGGGGGCGCGCCACCCCCGCCGCCGCCGCCTGCGCAAAAGCGGGTGCAGCCGATTGGGAAACAACTCTCATCCAAGATTTCTGCAGCTAGTTCACGGTTGACTGAAGTCATGGCATGGGAAGCAAAAATCAAAGACTGCACCAGCTTGCTACTAAGTTGCAATTTATTCTATATGTCAGCTATGTAGAGTTGGTTGAAGTTGTCCACAAACGTGTCAAAACAAAATAGTGTATATATATATAAACGTCAACCTCACCTCAGGTCCCAGACCCTGCTGGATGGTTTCATGGCTGAGTTGCAGAACCACAAGGGTTCGATTAGTGATGCAAAGAGATCTTTGGAGGTTGTCTATGCCAAGACCCTTGGGAAGTCGGATGCGGCTATCAGAGAAGATCCAACACTTCTAGCAGAGGTGTCCTCTGGCAATGCTGCCATGGATTCGTGTTTTACCAGCTTTACTGGGACTTGTAGGAGCATCAAGATGTCCATAGATGCTCAGCTGATTTTCTTGATTTCCATGTTTGTGGGGAACCTCCTTGAATGCAGGTTGAGCTTTGAACCATGTCTCTTCCAGCCAGATGCATCACTGGCCCAGGAGCCTGCCAGGCCCAAGAAGGCGAAGGCGAAGGCAAAAGCGCAAGCGCAGGCAGAAGTTCCTGAGCCGGCTGCGTGAGTGATCTGCAGTAGATTTCACAGAAGGGCATAGATGGAGCTCATCACACTGTAGGGTACCTTTGATATGATTATTTAACAATGACCCAGCCACTCGGTGTATGATTATTGGGAAGTGTCTGGGGTTTAGAAAACTGATATATTTTCAGCTTCTGGTGGGTTTGAAAGTCACAAGTCAGCCCTTAATAATTTGATCATTTAATCATCGTTCTTGGGGTGCAGGTGTTTAACCATATTCGCTGTGAACAGTGCATAGCATAGAAAGCAATGCATGCATGTGGTGACACATGCTTCCAAGCAGATGAGCTGTTGAAAGAGTTCTGCTCCTTGACGAATAAGTCACCCAAATGCCTGACGGCAGTCTGCATGTGGGTAGTCCTTCCTGATTGTCAGCCTCACACGCGCTACAGGCACTTAATGCCTGGTAGAAGAAGCCAATAGTCGCTGGAGCCCTTTCCTTTCCTGGTCCGATATACAGGAACTGTTTCTGGCTTTCGTTGTCCTTTCAGTCAAGCCAGTGGTCATATCTGGAAGGCTCACGCTGTAGATTGATTCTCCAGCTGTTGGCATAATGATCATTCGATGGGATTGTCGGGAAAGTTGTCTTTGATCTCCTGTCTTTGCCTTTCCCTCACATGCAACCCATCTCATCATCCAATATTCTGCTTCGTCCAGTGGCCTCAGTCCCTGATGGTCAACGCAATTGGGTTCAAAGCCGTGCTGAAGCATCAGCCACGATTGTGTCAATGCGACCCGCTATTGCAGCATAATGCAGGGCAGTCTTCTCTGACTTGTCTTCCATGTATGCCCAATCAAGCTGGCCATATAGATTCTTCTTGCCAAGGCCAGTATCGGCACTGACGGCCTTTCTGCACTTCTCCAGTGCGATGGTTGAGCCAACTGGTCAAAGTGTGATGGTTCAGCCAACTGGTCAAGCATCTAGATGTTTGTAGCGATGAAAATGCACTTGCACATATACTCATGCTTTTCTCTTTGCTTATGACCGATGGTCCAATTGAGCCAGAAATGCAAGTGAGAGCTCCAGAGCCCTTCGACTTTTTGTTAGCAGAGATGCGCTTCTCTGCTGCCTGGTCCGTGGGTTGTCAAAGCTCTGCGCGAGCAGGTGTGAAACAGATAATTAAAAATACAAGCTCTATACATAGGCTTTGGTAAAAAAGCTTTGCCTTGTGAGTGCCTGCCGAAGAAGCAGTGAGCTTTGAGTGGGTTTGGCCAAGTGGCAGTGAGGTCAAGGGTGAGACCACCCAAGCCGTGCCATTGAGAGAAAAAAGCTGCAGTGCTTTGGGCCAGTGGCCTGGTCATGTCCAGGGGTGTTACATATATTTTCTTCAACATTAAATGTTTTGATATATATATCTTTTTTGATTGTATTTGTTGCTCTGAAGTCAGGATCTTTGACATCCAATACTCGGGCCCTGCAAAGCTTATGTGTCTCCAACCACCTTTCCCATGGACCCTCCAACCACCTCTAAATCCTGCCGCATGACATCACATGACTCACTCCCCCGCAGGTCTGTCGGCAAGAAGCAAGAGCAGCCCATTGACATCATTTCTCCTCCAAGAGAGTGGGCTTGGCAGAGTGTCTTGGCATTGCCCAGCGTCCCAACCCTGGTGTGACCCCAAGGATTCCCATAATGGTTGGTAGTGCTTCTCCCAACCTTGAGATAGTGTCCTCTCAGCTTATATGGTTGGATTCCTTCAGCTTCAATCGGATCTGAGGATTCATACCGCAAAGCACATGAGTTGGCAGACTGTGTCAGAAAGGACCGCTTATGTTTCAACTGACTGTTCCATGGCCACACAAGGTTTGTGGGTGGTATGTATGATGTCACGAGTGCCATCAAGTTTGTGGGTGTTGATGATCACCCTGAAAGGAGTTCACCTTTCAAGGATATGAGATGAGGGGACCTGTTGCTGAATTGGTCAAAGCAGGTGGCGGAGGCCGACACCGGAACAATGTTCGACGCGATTGGTTTAGGCAGATGGGCCGCATGGACCGTGATCACCGTGCATCTTGGTGTTTGAACAACTTTGAACTTGGGTCAATTTCACCCTGTACAATATCCCACCAATTGGCTCCCTGTGAATCTCATAGGTTTCATCCTCCCAAACAAATTCTATCACTCTCGAATTTGAGGCACCTATCACATGGGTGGATGTCCCAATCCTGGAGTATGGTGATCAGGGGTGGCAACGTGTTCAAAAGTGCCTTGCTGATTTCAATCATTTTTGTAGCAGTTTCCCACCAAGATCAAATTAAAACATTATATATATTAAAAGGGACTTGGAAACTAAATCACCTCCAGGCGGATGCCCTGCAGTTTACCACATGAGCTCATCCCGTTCCTGATGGGCCATGAACTCTTTCCACAGCTGAAGCCGAGAGAGGTTTCGAGATATTGGAACCATCTGTGCGACGCCAAATCACCAGTGGCTTTGGGCCTTCCTTCAAGGGATTATATTCCCCTGTATATTTGGGGTGATGGTGCGAACTATGTGAAAGATGAATCGATCATCTGCATTTGTATGGGGTGTGTACTGGACAACCGGAAGAACTCTATTGAAAGCCGGTGGCCCTTGGCCCTTTGCCGAGAAGAGACTCAGTATTTATTTCAAAAAAGTTTGTATTGGGGATTTTATGAACCATTGACCCCCTGTAATGAACCACGTTAAGAAGGCTTTGACCTGGAGGGTATTTGGATCCCCAGAGATTTTGGGAAACCTTTGGATTCAAACAGGTGCACACACTGCCCGATGTAAGGACCGGAGCTGTGGATTTGCAACCCTGTCCGCATTCCTTGGGCCAGCTCCTTGTCTCCTGATATCTTGGCCAAAGTGGCCAACTCTCCTTAGCTCATTTGTGAGGGCTGTAGACGTTTCTGGACTGCCCCCGTTAGATGGCACACTTGTGAGAACCCTTACACCCAGGTTTTTTGGTTTCTTTTCCTATCAGGTTGTGGAGTCATTGAAAAAGATCTTTGAAGAGGGACTGGAACATGATGGGCGCCGATTCAAGTTCATCCTCTCTGAGATCCGTGGGGATTGGAAATTCCAGCAGGTGCACTGTTACCCAGCAAGTGTTAACCTTAAGACCTCCACTGCCATGGAGACTCTGTAAACTTTAAATTATTTATTTTTGTGAGGTATGCTGTAAGCGGAGCTGTAAGCGAATCTGTAAGAATTCAGTAAGCGAAGATTTGGTGGTCGCAGCCCTTGTGAGCGGGTTGTGATTTGGTTGTGAGCGATATATGATTTGCCTGTGAGGGGGGTGTGATTTGCCTGTGAGCGGGCTGTGGACGGGCTGTGATTTGCTGTGAGCGGGTTGTGAACGGGCTGTGATTTGCCTGTGAGCGGGCTGTGGACGGGCTGTGATTTGGCTGTGAGCGGGTTGTGAACGGGCTGTGATTTGCCTGTGAGCGGGTTGTGAACGGGCTGTGATTTGCCTGTGAGCGAGATGTGATTTGCCTGTGAGCGGGCTGTGTGTATGTGTGAGTGTATGCAGGTGGGCACACTGAGTGTCAAAGAATGACTGCACTGCGAACATAAGCTATAAACAGTGAACAGAAACAAACTGCAATCAGCGCTCCAGCAACTTTTGTTGACCTCTGAGCTCAGTTGAGCTGGTATGTTCAGATATCATATCAGATATCGGACGTCCCTGCTCCTGCTGCAGCTGGCAAAGAAAAAGACCCCTAGAGTCTTAGAGCCCTAGTGTTTCGGATGGTGAGTCTAGCAGTCTAGCAAAGGCCAATATTTCTAAGCGCACTAGTCACTAGTCACTACCAACTACTACAGGATATATCACATAAAAGCTGAGGACTTATCAGACCCATCAGATACCTAGACCTAGGCCCTACATATCAGATCACGTCGCCAACAGCATATGGCATAGGGACATGACAAATTGGCAAGCACTCCCTCTGTACGGCTTGCAGGTTGCACCAAAATGGCATGAACTAGTCAGTCTGGATCTAATCCAAACTTGATTTGGCCTTTTCCAAAAGCAATTGCTGCACTTCAGCCTCAAATGGTCCCAGCTTGCCTGATGAAATCAAGGTCACTTGCTCTCGAAGGGTGGCCTTGCGCTTTCCAAGCTTCACCTGGGCGTCCTCAGAGTTCTTCTCTTTGGAGCTAAGGCCCTCATACTCGACTAGCCCCAAGACACCCCAGCCCAGAGCCGCCTCACAAAAAGTCATCCGGCGCTGCTGCACAAAGGACAATGCTTCAGTGCTCACAAGATTTGTGAAGGCAACAAGTTCTTCCTCATGGAACGGCTCAAGGAATTCGAGCTTCTTCACAACCTCCTCGCACTGTGCCAGAACCTGTGAAGCAGCTCAGTAGTTACTGGTCGCTAGCCGCTAGTCCGCTAGTCAAGCACTAGGACCAGGAGAGACTGGCAGTCTATCCTTTTGAGATTGTTTGGATTGAGTGTCTGAGTCTATACTCTAATAAGCATATTGTAAACTCTAGACTCTAGACTCTATAGTATATAGTGACTATAATATAGTGGTGTACCGTGTATAGGACCAGGAACCTAGCTAGTAGCAGATAGCAGCTATCTGGCAGCGCCAAGAAACTCTGTCGCAATCTCCCAAAGCCTTCCGAAAGTCCTTTCCATTGGCCTTCCCAAGGGTTGCCTGGAACGCGTCAAGCACTGCCTGGATAGTGGAGTCTTCTGGGATCTTCTGCTTCCAAGACAAGAGGTTCTCGTCCGCAATGCCAGAGAGGACCCTCTGTGCCTCAAGCCAGCTTGTCTTGAACTTGAGCACCAGCATGCGAATGGCGTCCTTCACATCGTCATTGCAGAAGCCATGTCTGTCAAGCCACTCGTGAGCAACATTGACCAGCAGCAACGACACAGTGAGGTCTTTGGAATCTCGAGCTGACTCCAACTGCTCCTGGCTAAGACCGCTGGCCTGCACCAAGCGTTGCAGATTCATCTCGCACTGCGTCAGCTGGGAAAGCGTGTTCACAATTGACCATAGGCCTGCAAAGCGGTTGTCTTTGCGTAGGCGTTTCTCCGTGTCTGGCCCAAGGTCAAAGAAAGTCTTCCAGCGGATGCGCAGGCTCATGCCCTGCTTCAGCCCATACACTGTCGCATTGGCAAAGTCAGAGTAGGGGTGCCCTCCCACTTTCAGGATGCTCATCAAAGCAGGCAAAGCGTCCAGCATGGCAGACATATCCTTGTCCGCCGGCGACAGGGCCTCCAGCATTTAGCAAGCGCGGCTAAGTGACTGGTGATTATATTGACTAACTAGCGGCTAGCGACTAACGACTAATGACTGCGGAGCTAGTGCGCACCTAATAACTAGAGACTAGTGACTAGTGACCAGTGACCACTGGCCATGACCAAGTTTTCAAGTGGTCACACAAGGCCTCGCCTCACATTGCAAGAACTTGACGAAAATCAAGAAGGCGGCGCGAAGCTTCCCTTGCAAGTCTTGGGTGAGAACACCGACATCACCTGGAAGAGCCTTCAGAAGATCTGAGAGCGCAGAAAGGTTCTCCATAGTTGCTTGGCTGTCACAGCCGAGAGCGAAGAAATGATTGAACCATTCTGTTAGCTTGTCCACAGACAATTTGGCATTGTGCTTTGTGCTCCACTCAGTAAGCTGCACGTGTCGCTCAGAAGCCCCTTCTGCAGCACGAAAGAAGTCCAAGCCCTTCAGCAATGAATCCAAATCTTCTGAAGAGATGTTGCACTCTTTGCTGCGCGATACCTCTGCAGTTGGAAATATAGCCTGACCTAGACTGACTAGCTAGCGTCTCCTAGGTCCTAGGTCCTAGAGTCCAGTCACTGGTCACTAGTCTAGTCTAGAGTCTAGAGTCTAGTCTACTCTAGCCACATTGAGTCGAGTCTAGTAAAATATATATTCTAGTTGAGTCTGAGACTAAGTCTAGAGTCTAGAGTCCAGAGTCAGAGTCGAGTCGATAGTTCGTTTGAAGTCTGGAATTTGGCCACCCAACCTTAGTAGCTGTGTGGATCAGGAACTTGATCAGTTGGCCTTCGAGCGCTGCGCATGATCCTTTGCGCACGCTCTTCCGGATCCGGGGCCAGTTCTCCAAAATGCTCTTCACATGGGCGTGGAATCCAGAGGTCAAGCCATCAGCTAGCACATCCTGGGCAGACTTCAATGAAACTCGAGCTTGCTCCATCAAACCTGCCCCCTCCACATGGGACGCAGCAGTCTTGACCACATCGTTCACCATGGACTGTAGGGTAGCACGGCTTTTCGTTCTTGTTTCGCCCATCAGACCTTTTCTGGTCTCAGCGGGCTCTGGCTGAGAGAGAATCTGCCGGACAGCCAAAGGAAAGCCATCAGACCCATTGTATTGGGTGAAGAAAATCACATCGCGAGCATCAGACTTCATATTCTCCCACTGGAACAGGTTGCCAACACATTTGCAAAAGGTTTGCATCAAGGAAATTGCTCCGGTGAAAACCTTGCCATCTGTGCTTTGAAGGAACTCTTGCGCCTCAGCCGTCGAGCTGGCTTTTGAAAATTGCACGCAGAATTCCTTCAGTGCTTCAAAGCAATGAGGGTTGTCACACATGTTCAGGAGCTCCAGTAAGGTGTCATGAGCCAGCATCTCCTTGTACATGGAGCTGAAATCCTGCGCTCATGAGCCACTCATCACTCATCCAAATGTCTATAACTGCTGCAAGTGCAATTACATTGTCATTTAAACTTACACATTTACAAAATTTTACAATTTACAATTTACAGCTACAATAAAACAACCACTCACTAAGAAACTACATCCCAGTCCTCAATTTCGTGCTCAACATCTTGAAGCGCCGTGGAATTCGAAGGCTGGACAGGTTCCCCAGAAGAAGGCATAGGAGATTCTTCATCAATCCCAGGAACGAAAGGACACAAAGCCGTGGAGTCACTCAACTTCCCTGACGATGATGCCGCCATCGCCTTCAGATCTGACACATCATCCATGGCATCAGTCAGCATAAAAGAATCGCCAGGAGCTTCTTCCCTGGGTTGAAGACGTTTCAACTTCTGCTGAACCCGATGCCAGATAGCAGCAAAAGAAGGTGGGTCGCCTTGGAACATTGGCAGGATGTCTTTGGACAGGTCGTCATCCCAGAGGTTGAACATCTTGACCAAAGACCTGACTTGCAACATGCACTTTCCAGGATCGTAGCGGCTTTCCAGGAAGCTTTTGAACTCGTGCGTAGAAAGCCAGTGAAAAACAGATCGAACCGAACCAAATCCAACTAGCTGCCCCATCTGTACTTAACTTACTTGCGGTCGTCCTACTATATACTGCTGTAATCCTAGCTGCAGCTACAGTTACTGGTTACTAGTAACTAATAGTTACTAATATCTATTAAATCTATTAACTATTATATTATATATTATGTGCGACTGTTACTGTTACAGTTACAGTTGCAGTATATGGTCAATACAACCTTCAATACAAATATTGAATAGTGACTAGTGACTAGTGAGTACTCACACTGGATATGGTCGCAGCTGTTTGTTCATCCTGCCTGCATGCAACGTTGGCCAAAAGCGTGGTTGGAAAGGCATCAGCATATTGTTCCAGTAGCCGAAGGTTCTGAAGCAACACACCATGGTCTGAATCATTGCCTGACGCCAGATTCGTCGCCGCCTCCACACGACTAAGGCGCAATTCCAGCACATGGAACTCCCGGGTCTGCTTGAGGGTTTCCAAACATCTGCGTGCCTGCATGCTGCTAGTGCACAGTGTAAACTTGAATAGAGTAGTATGTAGAAGTATAGAGTTAGTTGAAAAGTATATATATATACATATATAGTAGGTTAGTAAAGTATAAAGAACCAAAAACAGGGACTCACAAACATCAAAACGACTCACAATGAAATGTTTCAATGAAATGCAAAGCAGGCTGCTCCAGTCACAGCCTGACCCAAGTTCTTCCGGTCAGAGGGTTGCAAGAAGTCAGTCACTACCAACTTTGTCAGACTGGGAGCATCCTTACCCGTTTTCTGCCGGTACTTGGCATGAACAATGGACATCTCCTTGTCATGCTGCGCAAATTCCTGTGGTGTCATCATACCACCGGATTTGAATTCTCTTGCAGACACAGACTTCATGTCGATGTTGTCAGTCTCATCTTGGTGATCTGCCTTGGCCTTGGCCTTGGCCTTGCTTTTGGGTCTCTTTTTCGCACCTGCAGCAGTCAAGGATGGAGCACTTTCCTGAATGGTAGGATCCTCCCGAACTTCCCTCCTCTTTGATGGTGCATCCTCACTCTCACTCTCCCCACGCTTGCTCGTTCTCTGTTTCTTGCCGGCCTTGATTTTGTCCTGGAGCTCTTGACTCATTTCCCAACTGCAACCATCACCATCCTCAGCATCAGAGGCGTTCTCATCGTCATTATCCCCGTCGTCCTCTTCAGACTCAGAATGACACTCACCAGGCTCACCAGTCACCTCTTGCAATGCCTCTCGGGCAGCCTTCCGTTCACTCGCAGAAATGCTTGCCAATTCCTTGAAATTCTTTAGAGCCGTCCTTGATGAGGATGCCACCACAGATGGTCTGAAGCCAGCCATGAACTTCTTGTTGAGGTACTCTGCGCAAATCTTTCCCTGGTCCTTGGCCATCTGCGCAACGGGGTGGACATAAACCTGATCTTGAATAGAGGCGACAGAATACCTCATCACCATCTTGCGCAAACCCATGGTGTCTTGCACAGGCCACCCCACCAAGCTGACAATGAAGGCTGATTTGAACTCCACGCCGTCCTCACTCTTGATGTTCGCGACCTTGAACTTTGCCTTATCTTTGCCGAAGAGCTTGTCGGGAGTAGTCTTGAACAAGCGCTTGATGTCAGCTTCCAACAAGACTCCGTACTCCACAACAATCTCTGTGCCTGCAAGACGCTGACATCCACCAAGACTGTGACTATAAATGACTGTGACTATGTGACTATGCCTATGCCCTATGCTATGCCGATGCCTATGGCCTTTGGCCTAGGCGGCCAGGCTGAGGAAGATGAAGTCACAAGAGGAAACAATCCAACCAAACCAGACCAAAACAGGCATGCATACTGAACATGATGGCGTAATGAGCGCAATGAAAAACTGGGGGCGGTACTTAATGCTTCTCTCTGGCAAACATTTGCGGAAGGGCACCATCTGGCGTTGTCCTTGTTGGCGAACCAGAGTTTGACGAACGTCGCATAACATGACCTGACAAGCCCTCCATGATCATCTTGATTGTGGTAGATCACAACAACTTCCTCAAACTTTAAGCCAGGAAAGAGACGAACTGAAAACTCTTTGCAAACGAGACAGCCATCTCCAACTGCTGTTCCGGAAGAGTCTGTAGGGAAATCACGTTCTTTCGAGGACTTGGTGCACATTCTGCATACTCGGGCGACCTCATCCTTCCGCGAGCGTTTGCTCCCAGCCTCTGAACCATCCTGGAATTTAGCAAAAGTTCAATAGACTGGACTCGACTTCAATAGTAAATATTAAGTAGCAACAAGCAACAAGTATTTAGCACAATTTAGTAACTAGTCACTAGTAACACTAGTCACTAGTAATCAATCGACAATAGACTTTCTTTGCCATCCTTGCGTTACCTGGACCTAGACCTGGACCTGGACCACTTGACTTTCCGAGATGTGTGAGTTGAGTTGGAACTCGAAACAACCAATCACCATCCAAACAAAAACAAAGGTCCATGGTCCTTTGCCTCCCTCTTATGCTTGCTTGGTCCCGCCATAGCTGGAAACAGGCCAAAGAACTGGCCAGCAGCCAGTCCCCACAATTTGTGAAGACTCTGAATTGAAAAGCCGTCTGAGCGTCCGGAGTCCAAAGGTTATCAATGAACGAATCACACATAGGCTCAGTCCTACTGACTCTACTCTACTTTCTTTCTAGTTGCTTAGTCAGGCTTAGTCTTAGTTGCTCCTGGTTCTCAGTTCAACACAGCATACAAAGATGCAATGTTCGGAAAAACGTGACTCGCTGACTCACCGCATCTGCGTTTACGTTTGAATCGTTTGAAGACTCAAGAATTGAAAAAGCGGATCCAAAGTCAGGCCCCGATGTTTTGGTCTGGCTGCCCTGGCTCTTCAGGTCTGTGAAGCTGGCAGCTCCAGCACATGCAACAAGTAGCAAGGGGCTGTGCAGGAAATCCAGCACCGCCACCGAAACGACGTTGATTGTTGGAAAGTCAGCATGGCTTGATTCCTCTTCTCTGCTCGACTAGCGGTGACTAGCGACTATAGTGACTAGTGTAGACTAGTGACTAGTGACAGAGCACTACAATCACTACTACTCTACTCTACAGTGCAAGTCATTCTATCAGCACCAACCCATGGACCTATGACTAATCAATGACTAATTAACAACCAGCAAACCCAAAGCGACTTTCCTGCTGTCCACTGTAAAAAACGGGGTTCTGATTCTAGGTCCCAAAAGACCTCACCGCCCCTCCAACTGACTCGCATGAATCAGGACTCAGAACGCGCAGATGATGATGGCAAAGGAAACCCCTTTGTGAGGAACACACTCCACACAACCATGCCGAGCACTGGCAAGGCAATTCCTTCGCCAGCCATATGTTTCACGTCTGTCGGGGTCATCGATGTTGGAATCACCGTGTCCTGTTGATAGCCTTGGAGAAGTAAATGCTCCAAAGGTGCACATACACGATTTAGGCCAAAAGAAAACAGTTGTGAACTTGTAGTCAATGTGCGCGCCACGCCCTCCCGGTTGGAAAAAGGACGACGCACGTGATTCTGAGAGAAATCCAACAAGGTCTCCTCCAAGGCTTTTGGCGCGTCCTTCAAGGTGGTCTTCTGGCGCTTGCAAGTGTCAAGGGCCACGCAGTCGACTAAATCAAACACCCGTTTCGAACATCCGTTCAGGCCAGCACCAAAGAAGTGCTTCGACTTAGTGTAGAACCTGCTCTCTACAGGAAAGCCTAGCTGAGTCTTCCACTCAGCTGACTGACTTTCCCATTGGAAGTGCCCATCGGTCCAGCCTCCACCTGGACCTTGACCATCACGCTTCTGGGCCACCTCCGAATCAAATGGCACACATCGTACCAGGTGCAAATGCAAAGCCCATTACTTCCAACATGTGTGTTTGCAATTTTAGAAAATTGAAAGTTAAAGTTGAAATAGAAGCATAGAATAGAACATAAAGAGACAAAATATATATAAAGACCACATATATATATATAACTATATTCACAATCGTTTCGCACACAGCCAAAAAAAACATCGCTGCGCTGCTTACAACGTGATGCAACTGAGATTGAATGCGCTGGCTGCGAAGACGCGTCCGACGCAAGTCCAAGTGAACCGGAGTGACCTGGTTTCCTAGATCCTAGGGTCCTAGGAGAAACTAGTGACTAGTGACTAGTGGTTGGTCATGCCACAATCGCAGCGCCAATCTGCCCCAACCCCGCCATGTCACTCAGTGACAGACCTAATCATCATACTCGTTTTCTGCTTCACTACTTAGTCGACTTATATAAACGCATAATCCTTCCAGCATGGCGCGCCTGCTTGACTGGGCCGCCTCATGACTTGAATAGTTACAGTTACAGTTACTAGTTACTATAGTGACTAGTCACTGGTCCTACTC